GGGCTCCAGCTGACGCCACCCCTGATTGCCAAACAAAATGCTAACACCACCCTCGATCCGTGTTGGCTGGGGCAGTTTACGCAAAACACTATGTATATTAACTTTTATTTTATTTTTGTATTTATGGCACTAAAATAAACATATTTACTAATCGGGTCTGGGAGTTTTCATCACTAAAAAAACGTGCCCGTCAGCAGCTGACTGGGGCATCGCAGTGAACAAAATTCTCCTCGATACGGTTCAGAGGATAACTCCACTGATTAGAAAGAGGCTTGTCAGCAGATGGCTGGGGCCGTTTTCAGCAAACAAGGTCTTTAATAATTATTTTGGTATTTCCAGTAGGCCTACATTATTTTAATAAACTTTAAATCAGAGGTTTAGATTATGGCATGCTTTAATAAATTATTTTTCACATAAAAGTTCGGTCGGCATACGCATCTGATAAGATGACCTTAGAAACCGAAAAATTAGTTAGCACGTTTTAAGTGAACTTGAAAATTATGCATGCTGAGTAGCTAGATTTATATGGGTACACAGTAAATGTAGGTGTAGATTCGGTCGTAATCTCTTCTCATACTGTATTCATTTGGCCATGGCCTTGCTGCCTGCGTTGGGTGCTGACCCCTTCGGGGTCAGTGGCGCTACGGCACCCGGCCGCTTGGCTTGTTGGCCACTTTTTAAGAATTTTTACTATGGAAATTAATTTAGGGACCGATCGTGTGCGACGGTCCATTTGCCTTTTGTCGTAATAAATCACGATCGAATCACACTATATCTGATCATGTGTTACTTTATTGTGTACTTGATTCATGTATTTGATTCTTTATTTATTGCCATGTATTAGAGCAGAGGCGGAATGTGGATTTGTGGGGATGCAGTCGGACAGGGCCCCATACATTTTTGAAAATTAAAAGAAAATGTACTGTATTGTCAGAACTTTTGTATTAGAATGCTAAGAGGGAACCCCGTGGCCTCTCCGGGGCTCATTTGACCTTTCTCCAACACACAAGCGTCACATAAATTGGTCAAAGCTTCATAGTAATATGCTGGGACGTAAAGCACAGCACCCCAATCCTCCCCCTCCCCCCACTTTCTAATAAATAAATATGTTTGTAGGATTTTGATCTACTCTATTCGGTTTTTTAAAAGTTAAAAAAAATTACCGTATTGTCGATGAGTTAACTAGAGTGTGCTGGGTAGTACCAGTAGTAAGAGGGTCCTCCTGGCCTCTTGGGGCCCATTTCGACTGGGACTGGGCCCCGAAGGCACATGCGTAACACCACTGTTAAGGCTCGGTAGTAAAGTGCTAGGTAGTAGGATCAGGGGCTGGTTACATGCTTCTGTTCGACTTCGTTTTGTGTAATCTGCTTAGAGAACCAACTGCGGAACTTCTGCTTTTTGTTTTCGGGCGCTTTTGTTTTTGTTAGCAACGCGTAATCATTGAGAAAAAATATTAATATATTTTCTCCATGGTATAATTTATCCCCTTTTTTCTAGTATTCGTGAGTGTTCGAACAGCTTCGAACATTTCCTAAGCAGCCTGCTTAGAAAATGTTTGATAAAACAGCATCTGTAGTTTTAATAGTTCGTCTGCTTTTCTGCTTCTAACTCATTCAGTTTCTTAAAGCGTTTTTTTTTTTCTAATTTAAATATATTTTGTATTAGTATTGTTCCCTGGATCTCTGTATCGACATTGATAAGCAAAAGCTAAAATGTAAACGTAAGTAAACAGGAAGGAATATAACCATGTTTTGACATTATTAAATTGTATTGCACCTTTCAACCTGCCACTTGTCCACTGCAACCTGATGAGATAAAGGCGATGATTTTTTTTTACCTAATTAAACTTACGGCATAATATTACTTGTGTTTTTCATTTTATTTATTATTCTTTCATATCATATTTATGTACATATATATGTAAAAGCTTAGACATAGAAACAAATAATGTTATAATAAACAATTGCCTTTCACTGTCAGTGCGAGTGTCGTACCTCTATTAGACCTTGAAACGGTATGACACTTGTTTTTACAGCAAAAGGTTACAGGTTCAATTCCCGCCGGAGGCACCTATTATATTAACAACTGGTAAGTAAGTTTTTGTGTTTTTTTTTTTTAAATATTTGCATTGCTCTTTATGTTTTTTGACATTGATAATTATGTTTTACCTGCCAATTGAAACCAAATTTACTTGGATAATAAATTAAATAATTACTAGCGGTATGACACTCGCCTTAATTATGAGAGGATACAGTTTCGAATCCTGCCAAAGAATTTTTATTTTCATTCAACTGGAAAAGGAAATTTTCGATGCTTGATACAATTATCTTATGTTCTTATATGCGCACTGGTATTATTT